AAGCAGCAAACATTCTAGATGATATATACATACAAGGCAAACTCATTGAGTCAACAATAACAAACATGCGGCAATAATTTGCAATACCGTAGATACTTCGGCTTCCGGTATGTGATATTCAAAAGCACAGGCATGATATTTAATGTCACAGCACAAAGTGAATTTTTTTTCTTCGTAGTATGTGTCTATGTGTGTATCTATGTGTGTTAATCTATGTTTGTGTTGTATTGATGTGTGCCTCTAACTCAGGCTTATATATGCGTACTATACTGTCTATACTATGGAGTGTTGAGTGTGGAGTATGCAGTTTGCTATGTAAATCTGCTAGGACAGCGGCAGCTAATTGTGGCGTAGGTTACAAAGTACACAGCTGGCGTTGACACCTGTTAATGCCACACTTGCCCAAACAACGGAACAGGAAATACTAAATAAATAAACCATAGATTATTTTTTTGTCATTTAATGCTAAGGGAAACTTTTTGATATGTGCACAAATACTTCTGTACACATATGGATCATATATCCATGTGTTCATATTGTGTATAACATACTATATGTTTTGATGTTATTAGCATTATGAGAATTTATTCAAATTTCTCTTTTTAATTTTATACATAATTTAATCATATTAATGACATAGGAAAAAGCATAGCACAAGCTGTAAGGATTCACTTATTTGTGCTTGGGTTGTGGGAAAAATTGCCATATAAAATTTCAGGAACACTTCAAGCATCAGGCTTTGTAGTAATAACATTGGTGTGTGTCGTAATGAAATAATTTTAAAATAATATTTTCATGAATATGTATTCTATTTAAAGTAATTTTTTAAAGTAATTAAATTATTTGATAATTATAATGATTTCATTTGTAATAATACTAATTGTAAATACTTTTATAGAAAAGTTTTTATAGAAAAGTTGGTTCTATACATAATACTATATATAATACTATATATAATACTATTTATATACAGTTCTATAGAAAAGTTTTTATGTAATGGTAGTTCATATGATGCTGTAGAGATATTGTTTTATATAATACTATATGTAATACTATAATATTATGTATAATACTATTTATATATAATCTTATAGAAAAATTTTAGTAGAAAAGTTGGTTCTATACATAATACTTTATATAATACTATATTACTATATACAATACCACTTTTATAGAAAATTTATATGTAATGGTGGTTCATATGATGCTGTAGAGATATTGTTCTATATAATATTATATGTAATAATATAATACTATGTACAATACTATTGATATATATAGTTGTAAAGAAAATTTTTTACGTAATGGTTGTTCATATGATGCTGTAGAGATATTGTTTTATATAATACTATAATATTATGTATAGCACTATTTATATATAATCTCATAGAAAAATTTTTATAGAAAAGTTGGTTCTATACATAATACTATATATAATACTATATTACTATACCACTTTTATAGAAAATTTATATGTAATGGTGGTTCATATGATGATGTAGAGATATTGTTCTATATAATACTATATATAATATTATAATACTGTGTACAATACTATTTATATATAGTTCTAAAGAAAATTTTTTATGTAATGGTTGTTCATATGATGCTGTAGAGATATTGTTCTATATAATACTATATATAATTTTATTTTTATAAACTTTTATAGAAAAGTTTTTATATAATGCTTGTTCATATGATGCTGTAGAGATATATACAAATATATGAAGCAAATTTGCCAGCATTTTTGAATATGAGTTAAATTTAAGGAGATATTTTTGTTTGCAGACAAAATTCGCAGATAATAACGTGATTGTATTTGAATATAAAAATCTTGCCAAATTCTATCCAGCGTAAGTGCCAAATTATTTTTTTTTATATTATGCAAATACGTTGCATTCGACGTCTATACAGACTATCTTTATGTTCCTAAGTGAAAAATTTCTATGTAATACTAAAAGGGATGCCTAAATCTTACCAAAGTATAGCTAGTGTAAATAAAAAAGTAAGAACTAGCAGTAAATATAGGAAACAGAATGGAATGTTTTAAAAACTCTGATTTAATTTATTAAGATAGATATAATTAAACCAGAACGAGTATCTTCTTAAGTAGAGGTAGGATAGTGGAAAAGCTGACAGTTCGTCAGTCAGCTGACATTGAAGCCATAACTGAAGTCACATCTTTAATGAAAATTTCAGAAGTTGAAAACAGTAGAAGCTATAAGGATGATTGAGAATTTCTGAGAGAATTCTTCCGAGTCTGACAAATTTAAAACGAGACTGGTAGACATTCCTAAGGACATTCCTTTATTTATCATTTTATTTTATTTCATTATATATTATTTTTATTTATATTATTTATCAAAAATTATTTCTCTTACATATTTTAAGCTTGGATGTAGAAATCTGATTGTAAAACTTTATTTTCGAGTCTGTGAAAATGAAACAGAACTGATCTGCTACTGTTATAAAAGAGAAAGTTCTGACACTATCTACACCCAGAAAAATAATTTTGTTCGTTTAACTAAATCTCAGGCGAAAATATTCTTCCTCAACGCATCATGTCGATTTTTAGCTATTAAAAAGTATTAAGTCTATTAGATCATCTTTTCAAATATCAATAACAAAATTATGAAGTGCTGATATCTTTAAAATATCTGGTCTAATAAATTAATAAACCTATTGTTTGAAAATGTCTAGACAATTCGCGATTTTTAGTTTATGATTTACATTTAACATTTCCAATAAATTTTGTAATAATAAAGCACTATTAAGCTTTATCTTAACACTATTTATAAGGATTGCAATATTGTATTGTTTAGCATATATATATATATGCTATTAATTATAAATTATTAATTAATTATTAATCAAGAATAATGTATGTTTAAAAAGCAGTGGGATACTAGTGTCAATAACGTAGGAAAATTTTTTGTATATTGTCTGGTAAATTTTGTATACCAGAGTTAATTGTTAACTTTGACGGTAAAGTACGGCTCATAACTTATGTCTAGGTTTTAATCCAAATAATGGCAATAGGTATTATATATACCATAGTTGTAGGCATACTTTTAACGGCTATATTGTGTGATACATTAATATACATAAACTAATTTCAAAGATTTTTAAACTTGTTTGGATTTAGAAAATGTTTCTGGTTTTTCTTGAAAGTTATGCTGTGTTTATTTGGAACGTAATATGGAAATAATTTTCATGGTCTGAAAAACGAGTGCTTGAGAGAGCTTACTCTTGTTTTTTTTATTTTTTTGTGGCTTGCCGTAGTGAAGACTTTCAATTGATATGTCATGACTATGTAAACATCGTTTATATATATTGTAGATATTGTATATATATATCGCTTAGAAAACTAAACGAATCAATTGAATATTTATCATGTCTATGTAACATATACAAAGATCGTTTATATATATTATATATATATATCGTTTAGAAAACTAAACGGATCAATTGAATATTTATCGCTTTTTGAACGATAAAAAATAAATGAAGAGTGAATGTATTCTTCACGTGTCTGGTAAGTATTTTTTTTTTGGTTTAAATTTTGCACTACAGGGATACAGGGATATGAGGTCTCAAAAACAAATCCATGAGAGTAAAAACATTTAACGATAAAAAATGTTTACGTTCAGAGACTGTACAGTATTTTTAAGTGCAAAAAATATTTAAATAGTTTAAAAATAATAATAGTTAAGAATAAATATTTTTTTAATTAATTTTTTTATAAACTTTTAATACTTTTTGTAGAAACCTTTACTATTTTAACATTGTAAACATTTTATACATTATTAGCACTTTTGTACCAAGAAATTGTTTTATATGGTATACCTTACATAGTTTTTCTACCATATAATGGTCCTTCGTTTTCAACAAAAGCACATTAAGTATTTTGATTACTCATACGCCCTGTTGAACATTGGGACTTACAATTTGGAAATGAGTACATATCCACATGTGCGGGTATTGAAAGAAGAAATTGTATTTAATGTTATAAAAAATAACTGAAAGATCTCATATAAATCATTTTCATTTGAAGTTCCGAAAGAGAAATTATTGCAGCAACAATGAATCATTTGCTTTTCAAAGCTAGAGAGTTTTGAATATTCCTAAATAGTTATTAAATATAAAATGTATAAATGTAAAATGATTCTACTTTTCAAATATTGTTATTAAGAATAAAAAATTTACTCAATTATTGCTATTAAGAAAAATAACTGAAATTATTAATTAACTAATAAATGAAAGGACCTCATGGTAGTTACTTCAAACAGATAACTTTAAGTTAAATGCAGTATTTTAATAATTATTCGCTTTTGTGCCATTTGATATTCCATGAAGTAATTAACTCTTTTCGGTGCAGGTCCTGGTTTCCTCAAAGTCAATTCTTAATTGCAATTGCATCCAGCGTTTGTTTTATGACTTCAAACAACGTAAAACCACAGCAACTAACTGTGAACCGTGCGGTGCAGTGCGGTGCGTTGCGTTGCTGTAGCGACTTCGGGGAAAATGGAATGAAATTTAATTGTTCAATTTGGTTAAGAAACGATTTTAATTGCGTTTTGAACGTAGATTCATGGAACTACAATAAGGCAAACGCAACCAACAATTCTGCAATTAATTTTGTGTGCTTTGCCATTATTTTGAAGTCATCACTCATTGGCTATATATTTTGCACCAAAACACCAAAAAAAAAAAAAAATAATTAATAGAATTATATATAGTATCGAGTGAAAGCTCTGTTAAGTGAACTCTGATAGTGTGTTCACACCACCTAATTTTCTTAGCTTGTTCCATAGTATCTCTACAGAGCACACTTTACAGGTAGGAGGATAGGTTTTAATCAATTAAATAATTTTTTTTTGTTGTTTCATTCAATGATTTTAGATTCCTTTCATATAAAATAAACTAGCAACAGGTTTAAGAGAAATTTCCATTTCTATAGAAGCTTTTCTGTATAAATAAAATTAATAAATCACACGTACCTGTGCTGATATTCTTCCTTTCTTCAGTCGTTGTAAGTCAGTGTGGCTCCAAAGGCTTCTGGCCCATGGCATAACGTTTCTAAGATCTTGGTCAAAGCTATATAATAAAAAAAGAAATTATAAGAATATTTTAAATACTTTAAGTGAATTTGAAATTAAATAAAAAGTTAGAAACCACAAGAATATTTTATACAAATAATATATAATATTAACCGTCATTTTTTCTTTCAGAGTTGTAAAAGAACAGCATTAAGTCTGGTTGAAACAAATTGGCAACACTTTTTAAATACTTTAAATGCCTGTTTTTGACATATGTTTATTGTTATGTTGTGTACAATATGCAATATAAAAATTGTACTTTAAAAATTAATTATTTTAATAAAAGAAATGAATTTTAGAAGGAAATGGTTAACATTTTTTTCTTCTGAATTAATTTTTTTATTTATGTGTTTGAATTTACAAGTATATAATATGCTCATATGATTTTAATGGGCGACTGGAATTTTGCAACATATTTCCAGTGAGCATTCACAATAGACTGATTTTCGAATTTGGCTGCACTGAAACTTAAGACGTTCAAATTTTGTCGAGTAAATTCTAACTCTGAAGATTTTAAGAGCATTGTTGTTACTTCACATGTTTTCTTTCGCAAGTTGCGATTATTTTTTGCTACTCTGAAAGAAAAAATTATGACTAAAATAACATATAATATAATAATATTTCTATAAAATAATATTATTCTATTATTATAATATTATATATATAATAATTTATATATATATATATAATAATTTATATTATATAGTATATTATATGACAATATTATTATATTCTTATAATATAATATATAATTTTAGTTTCATCAGTTTAAATAAGAAAAAAATTGTCTTTAATTGTCGGCTCCTGCTGGCCCACTTCCTGGCTACGCCGTTTATTAAGCATATTAGTATATATCAAATAAAAGGACATCGAATAAATTCTTATCAGCTAAACTATCATCTTCATCTCTGGATGAAGGTAAAAACGAATTTGTCAAAATATACATATATAGAAATATATTAAGACAAACGTTCTTTAGTTTATACTTTGTGGCATCCTGAACGTTATGGCGTAAAACGAAATATTATTATATTTACATTACATATATGATTGAAAGAATATCTCAAGCCATAACACAGCTACATTCAAAGTTTCTTCTCATAATTATAAATTTATTACTATTTTTATAATAAATGAAAGAATTAAATCCATTAGAATCGGCTGAAAAAAATAGACCTTTCACTCTTAACTTTATAGTTTGCTTGTTGCAATATGCAGCCTAACTAATGTCCTGATTAGTCGATATCTATCACATAGATTTAGCATAGAAATAAGTATTGTTTTAAAATTGTTTGTCTCCAGATATATTACTTTATTTTTTTTTTTAATATTTGCTAATTATATTTTATTAATAAATAATAGGTACATCCTCAGACTAAATTCATAGAAATTTAATTGATTAAAAATTACATAAGTAACACTATAAGTACTTGTGAATAAAATAGGTTATATATACGTATATAAATAATATATTTAAGCAATTTCTGATATAAGAAAATAATTTAAATAAAAAACAAACTTACTTAAATTCATTTAGTTTATTATGCAGGAACTTTCGTATATTCCAAGGTAAATCATTATGCCCATCAATTAAAGGCACTTGATCTAAAAGTTGCTCCGCCACACTCAAGCGCTCCTCGAAGGGTGCACCTAATAGTGAAATGGTGAAAAAACAAAATACATTACTAATAGCAACAACAAATGCAAATTGACAGGAGGAACGATATAAAGAATAACAACATTGAAAATGGCATTACTCAGCCAAGACAAGTGGTGCTGGTAATGGCAATGGCGATGGCGATGGCAATGGCGATGGCGTTGGCGACGGCTGCAATAAATGTGGCAACTCTGAATTTCTCAAGCACGTTCGACCGACATCAAGCACAGCAGAAGTCAACATTGCTGTGTATTTTGCATCATCGCACAGAACCGCACAGAACCGCACAGAACCGTACAGCACAACATGGCTGAGCAAAAGACAACACATCCGATCCCACCGAGTGGAAAGTAGTAATTGATTTACTTACTTGCAGCCACACGTAAAGCCAAGGGAACAGCAACACTTGCAGCGCCAATTATTAACAATATTGAACTAACTGCAAGCCAATGTTTTGCAGCATCGAATCCTTCATCGCACAGTTGCAAGTTGCATGCATATCAGTGCAAAACCAAGCCAGACCAAGAGTGATAATGGCATTAGCAAGACAATCCATACGAAAATTATCATTGACAATGACAATTTGTTCAGCACATTGCAAAATAAAAGAAACAATAATTAGAATATTAAGCTTTTATATTTTTTATTTTTCAACTCATAGTAAATATATTTAAAGATAATTTAGTTGAATAAATTGGATATTAATTGATGCTTAAATTATAAAAATGTAGTTTAAATATGTAGTTTTTTATGTAGTATTTTTTTTAGCGTTTTTGTATAATCTGTATAAATCTGTATCTGTATAAAGTCGGAGTTCTAGGTATATAGAAAGTAAATTAATTTTTAAAATTTAACTTATACGAAAGGAAATCTTTTTAGAATTGTAGTATTTTAATTGTATTGATATGGATTGTATTTTAACCTCATCATACATGTTTGGCTCGGGAACTATAATCAGTGCACTTTAGATATATTCGTTGGACTTTTAATAAATATTTTTGACGAATGATGATATTTGGTGCTAATAGATGATATATCAGTTCTTTCATAATATTTGAATAGCACAAATTTTACAATTCAAATATTATTCATTATGCAATATATTATATATTACATAAATAAGATATAATAATAAATAATATAAGAAATTTATTATAATTCACTATATTATTTATGAAATTTTTGGTTTTTAACGACAGTTGTGACGAAAAAAACTACTTTTTTAATATAAACTATTGTTTTCAATTGAGAGGTTTTTCGAAGAGTAGTGAACTGCAACAACAAATTTAATTATTTTTAATTAAATGAGTTTTAAGCTGCCCATACAGTAACATCGAGTATTATCGAATACAGAATTATTTTTATGATTTTTTTTTTAGACTGTGCAGATACCAAGGGTTGAACTCAGATTAAGTTCTAATTAGCTAATTGGCACAAAGCCTTACTTGACTTCCATTCCTCTAACTTGTAGTCTTGTTAATTTGCTGTGAAAGTTCATTAACAAATTAACTGTAAAATAATTATTAACTATTATAATTAATAATAGTTATTCTTAATTGTAAAATTTCAAACTAAAATTTTTATATTTAGTTTGTTAAACTATTATCATTTCTTTAATAGTACATAACTCAAGTTATTGATGTCCAATAGATGTAGTTCTGCAGACATAAAAAGACACCAAGCGGGTCTGACTAATAAAATTACGGCAAAATGCACGGAAATGATTTATCTCGCCTTATAAATATGAAAGATTCGTGATTTTTTTATTAATAGACAATTAGTGTACATACCTTATGTATCTTGAAATTAAGAAAGAGATTTTAAAAATTTCATTTTTTTTTATTATACTATACTGTACTATGTTTATACTATGTTATAAGCAGAGCCAGCCGCTCACTCAAGAATATATGTAAGTTTTGGAGTAGATCCACTTAAACCCTTTTCATAGTTATAAACATCGAAAGAAATGAAACACAATTAAGTGATATATTGTCCAAGTGAGAGAACCTGTATTGATAGTGTATTTTGGTGTGTGCCTTGGATATCTACCATCCTGAATAAAGTTTGTTAAAACAGCGGGTACTGACTATGTATTTTGTTAACTTTTCAAGAAAAATTTATTTAAAACATTAGTGCATTATATTGAATATAAACTAAGAATATTAGTTTTCGATTATTTTTTGGGTCTGAAATTGTTAAAGATATTTTTTGGAAACCAGGATTGATTTCAAATATTATCAGAATTTTAAAGATGATAGAGTTACTTTATAGTGATTTCATTTATATAAAATATTCAGGTCAATGTAGTACCACTAAGAAATGAATGTGGATTCAATAAGTTGAGATCGAAATCTGTTACATTAAATTTAGTGTCCTAATGATAATATTTCAAACAAAAGTACATTAGTATTATCTTTTTCCGAAAAGAAAATAATTACCATATGCTTTACTTAACATTAAAAATGAGGTAAAAGTACTAGTATAGGTTTTTCTTAAAAATACATCAATTTTAGTTACTCCCATAAAGGAAATAATCATCACTTTCTCTAGCTAAAGTTAAAAAGAAAGTGAAAGAATTAGTAAAAATTTACTTAAATAGTCAAATATAATATAGTCGGGAGAATATAAGTGAGCATTCATCCTGCATCTGTTCATTGTTAGACAGTCGTCCTGATTTATATGAATACACTAGGTAAAATATATCTGTGATATTCACAGAGAAAGTTGTCATCTGGTTGCCATTTCCGCAGAACTGATACCATGATAACAAAAAGCAAAAACTGTAGTTTATATAGTTTATGTATATTTAGTTTATGTAGTTTATAAGTAGTTTATATTACTGTACTTATTCTACTAAATAAATCAATAACGCGTATCGCAAAGGGCCTCCTATTTGGTATCGTGTGATATTCTGAGAAGCTAACAGCCTGACAGTTTGCTATAATGAGTTCTGTAGTAGCTTGCCAAGACGAGGAAGAGGGAGACGATTAAACGAGGATGACCTGCAAATAATCAGTATTAAGAAAAAAACGTATTAGTGAACTAAGAAAAATAGTTCGGTATAATCCGAAATAAAGCTTGGGAGTTGGTATGATTGTGTAACCTAAGACTACTCGAGAGTTTTTTAATTGAGGACTAAGCTTGTTGCAGTGAATTGGCGCCACCCACATTATCCAACCTTATCTAAACTAAACTAACATAATTGGCATTGAAAAGTTTATGACTCTCGTTTTTTTTTTCTAAATCATGTTATTACGTGAACTTTATGTCTTATTCTTGCGAATAAGATCTTGAATTATCTACATTGTCTAATCCAGGGGTTTTCAGGGTATAAAAAAATGGTAAAAGACTTTTGGATTTTTTAATATTATGTTGTTATATGGATTTTATGCCTTGTTCTTACAATTAAGTTCCCAAATTATCGATATTGGCTTTATAGGATTTTTAAGAATATGCAATTTCTCACAAAATATTGAAACTTTATTGAATAAAAGTAACATATGATAAACTTCATGGGCCATTGGTTTCATATATAATTAAGCTTTCAAATGTATTCTGTATAAATACACAATACATACACAATAAATACAAATTTAATCATTTCTTATGGCAACACAACAATTCCATTTGAAAATGTTGCCATTATAAAGTTTTCAGTCGCAGGAACATATATACATCTATATAGATATATATACCTACATACATCTGGTTTGAATTGAAAGGTTTCTTTGCTTCCATGTACGTTTAATAATTTTACTAATTATTTTGCAACAAATTGCTTCTTGGTACCAACAACTACAACAACACAGGCACAATTTAATTTTTCGTAACTATGACAACGGATTTTATTGCTCCTAATATTAAAGGCAGTTGAGTAGCTTCCGTTACTGCGTCAAACTCGTAATTGGCTAATTTTTTTCCTATTATTGAGAAGGAATTCGGATCCCATTTATTGCAGTTAGCTATTTCATGCGTATGTGTGTCAATACCAAAGTTAGCTGGAGTGCATCTTTTGTGGGAGCTACTTCTGTTGTTACGATAACCGAAACATGAATTCGCCTAACGAGCACTTGCAATTAAATTCGCAATGGCATAGCAGACGCTGCAGATTTCCTACATACGCAACATGCATTGAAATATGCAAGATACACGATCAAACATACCAGAAAACCAACAAACAGAGTTCACATATGCGCATAACAGGGATGTTACCATGAATTGCCTTAAAGCAGCAGTACGGCAGTACAGTAGTACAGCCGAGCCGTACAGCAGTACAGCAGTACAGCCATACAGCGGTACAGCAGAGCAGCTGTAGCAAAATAATTGTGTCAGGCACGATTGTATGTCATGCTTGCTGAGTGTCATGCTTGAACACTGCACGTTCAATATAAATTCATAATTGAGTATTGAGAAGTTATGCGAGTTTACATGTAAATTAATAAAAATTATTTGCATGATTTTGTATGTGTGCGTTTGTGTGTATCTATGTGTGAATGTATGCGTGTATTTATTGTTTATTGTTTATTGCTGTGCGTGTAAACGTTGTACGCAATGGCGGAAAACAGAAATCAGATATGCGAAATCAGTTGAACTTACGGAATGAATTAGTGCCAGAACTGGAGGAGCCACGACTAGGACACTGTCGATGCTTCCATGGCATAATGCTCGTTACGCTAGCGTGCAGTTGATTATGTTTTTGTTGTTGAGATGTTGTGTGCTGCTGTTGTTGCTGCTGTTGTTGTTGTTGCTGATGATTGTGATGCTTGTGGTGTACCGTAGTTTGGTGATTATGCAGATGATGTTCATGATGATGATGATGCTGATGCTGATGTGAGTGTTGTTGCTGATGAAGTTTCTCTTTAAGGCCACTGTTTGAGCTATCGAGTGTCGTAAAGGATGCATTATTAAGTAGATGTAATGCAGCACCAAAACTGCAACTGCTGTTGTACGCGTCTGTGGGTGTATTAAATTTTTGATAGGGCAAACGTGTTGTTGACGACACGTGATGCCCATCGATGTCCACCAAATTGTTAAAGCTGCGACTAATCACTGGTGGTGGCGGCGGTGGGCGGCCATTAAGCCAATCGTTCTCATCGCCTGTATAAAAAATGTTATGTTTGTTATTGTGTTTATCATTTGCATTCGATGAAGCAAAATTTATGCTACTTGTGCGTTGTTGCTGTTGTTGTTGTTGCCCGAAATAGTCACGTGAAAAATTTGATAACGATTGTGAAAAGCAACGACAACGTTCCGAGATGCGTTGCGGTTGCTGCTGCATATGCTGATGCTGTTCCTGCATTTGCTGATTGTATTGTGCTAGTTGACGTGCACAATCGCTACTTGCACCAATTGTGTTATATTTACTGAGACTTAGTGTGCTGCGACTGTTTTTTAAGTCTCGTTGCGATTTGAATTGATCAGATATTGGAGCAATACCTTTTGGTCCTGCACGTAGAAAACATAATGAAGGATCCGTTTTTTTTGAGTTTGGCATAAAAATATCATCTCGTACGTAGGGCGGGAGATAGTTGTTAAAGGATGTGCCTAAATTGCTGTCAACATGACACACATCGGGTTTCGAATTCGAAGCAATTGTTGCCAACGTTGCAATGTGTGATTTATTTGTGTTTAGGCTTGTGTTTGTGCCAATAATCTCTGTTCCAACTGCATTTGCACACTTCAATATGGATGTGGTGCAATCATCGATCATGGAGCCAACATCAATGGCACTATTGGCACAGTCACTTAACATGTTGCCATTGCATAGTGTTGCTATTGGTTGTTTGTTGTTATTGTTGTTGATATTATTTAAGTTGCTGTTGGTGTTACTAGCCACGCAAGTACCTGTAGGACACTGTTGTTGTTGCTGTTGTTGCAATTGAAACAAACGCAAACTACGCATACTGCCATTGCGTTTTAATGTCGGTGGAGGTGGTACGGGTGGTATGTTGTCCACATCCGATGATGATAAAGTATCACTCTGCAAAAAATAAAAGAAAAAAGTTTATTAAACCATCGAGATGACAAAAGGGTATTGGTTTCTTATGAAAATAGAGTAGCCATTTTTTCTAAAATCTCACTATTTTTTTCTTTATAGATAAATTAAAGGTTTATAATTTATTTTTAATAGATAAAAGAAGAATATCTTTTATTTAAATCACATAAGATTTTTCAGATAAATGAAGGAAACTTTTCAATTTGATGAAGTGAAATAAATAATTTATTTTTGTAGCGCTCAAGTCTAAGTTTCTTTCTTTGATTAACTAAAATTTAAAAGTCATGGAGATAAATTTATAATACGTGGGTTTAAACTTTACCAAAAACGTTAAATACAGAAACTACGAGACATTAAACAAAATTGTTTTAATATATAAAAGGGTTCCTACTTATAACATTTTATATACTCCATTACCTTGGGTTTTAATTTTCTCTACTATATCCCTGTGTGTGTCTATGTTTTTTGAAATATAGCTTTTCAGTTTCTAAATTAAATAGCTTTCTTATCAAATTTAATAATTTGATTTAACTTATTAATTATTAATTAATTTAATTTTTTAAGCACCTATTTTATCGTCAGTTTTTCCCTCTTTAGTGGAACTTTAGTCTGCAATCCTTTTCTGTAACGGATGTCTTTAATTCCTAAAACTTGGGCAATCCATCTAAACTTGAATTAACTCTAACAACTTTTGCGTACGCCTATTTTTCCTTTCTAAAACATGGGCAATACATATTAATCTTTAAACTTGAATTAACTCTAACAGCTTACATACGCGGTTACCATTCATTCCTAAAATTTACACAATCTTTATTAACTTCTAAGCTGGGATTAACTTTAATAACTTAGAGTTTTTTTCGCTTCAGTATGATGCTGATGCTTTAAGTTAAAACCGAAATATCGGAAAAAATTAACTATTAAAATTCTGAACATTGTCCAAATTTTGGCTACTAGCTTCAAAAGTGTAGCGTAGATGTCCACGAGCATTTGTAATACCTATAACCAAGATAATTAATAGCAATGAAATTTGGATGTGAAATATGTGTCACGATCTGCCTGAGGTTCAAAGCTATAGGCACATCAATAGTTTCGACAAAGTGAATGAACTTAAACTTGAGGGTTGCATTGCTTGAAATTTTTATGTTAAGTTGATGATAAAAAAGGCGCAATTTGTTGTTGTCTTATAAATTTTTGGGGAAAAATTAAAGACTATTCGAAAATTATAAAGACTCGAATAGTCTTTAATTAGTTCATATGAATCATTGGCAGTGAGTAATTTAATAGCTTCATTACTGTTTGCTCACTAGTTTTAGCGGATTAAGGACTAATCGGAATTCGCATAAAATGAGTTAGCTGATGTTTTCTAGCACATGTATGAGTAAAACGGGTCTTATAATTTTTTTGAAGCATGTAGTTCATGTCTACTTAAAATTCAAATATTCTTAAACTAGTTTATGTGAAATCATCGCTAATTAGTTGTTAGAGATTAAAGACTAATCATAATTCGTGTAAAGTGAGACAAGTGAAGAAAATGGGTCATTATTATTGTTACTATTGCTACTCCATTAAGAGCTCAAGGAGTCTAAAAAAGTTTTCCACTGGCTTCTGTTTTGTGCTATTGCTCTTAACTCGTTCAACGATTTGCCCGTCTCCTGCTGAACTGCGCCTCTCCAGGTCATTGTTGGTCTGCCTTTGCGCCTAGTCCCCTGGGGGTTCCAAGTAAGTACAGCAAGGGCGACATCTTCATAAGGCATACACAGCGTGTGTCAAATTCAACCAATCCAACGGACCATATGCCTTTTATATCTTATAGCTCTAGTCTAAATGAGTTTGGAAAACTTTGTAAGTAGTTTATATGGACTCGTTACTACCACGAGTTTTATAGTATCTTTACTGTTTAGTATAATTGGATGTTATGAATTATACTCCTTGGACCTTAAATATATATGAGTTAAATGAATCATACACCTTTTAATAAAACGGATTAGTTTTAGTCCATTGTATGTATTATTTGTAATATTGCATGATGGGATTATTTTGTATTTAAAACTCGGTAGCTGGACCACAAATGTGAGAAGCCCATGTGCAGTTTTTTGGAAAAATACAACTCTGAGATTTTGCAGTAAAAACATATCTCTAGCAAAAAATAGTAGCAAGTTTTCAAAATGGAGTCGTATTTGGTTAAATAAAATTTTTGAATTATATATAATATTTTCCTATCAAAATGTTTATTGTTGGTAGTGTGTGTGTATGTGTGTGTCTTCACCACGTATTACAAAAAGATATTATAACTTAATATAAGTACACTTAAATGTGCACATACACACAAATACTCGTACATATGTACATATGTTTACACATTCTCGATATTTTTAATGCACATCTCACTATATTGTTCAGAATATTATGGTGTGTAAAAGTTTTAATCTCATAATTGCTCAAGTACGCTCTTAATTCTTTGCTAAGTAATGTGTGAAGTTTTTCTCATGCTGAGCGGAAACAAAAACAAAATTTACGCAGTCTTAATGAGTTCATATTTTATACTTTTTAAAGTAATAAATTCGCTGCAATGAAACCCAGTGAACCACTGAACTCAATGATTTCTCAAAAGAGTTTGTGTGCTATTTTGTTTATTTGTTTTTTGTATTTGTTTTTATTTGGTGTGCTTTTTTTTCTGTGTGCCATACAGTGCTGACTTTCAACTGACTTGAGCAGAGTTGCATTGGGAAGGGAATAAAAGTGTAAAATGGCACGACAAACGAAAAGGCTCGGAAAGCGAAATGTGTAAAGTTAAAGGATATATGCATTACTTATAAACCAACTTCCAGTGCATTTGTGACGTTGCACTCATGTAAAACAGCCACACGGTACGAACGAACACACAATCACGTGTCAGTAACGCAAACGTAAGTATAAACACAGAAAGTGAAATGAGAATGTATTACATATTTATGGATGTAACCATGTGACCCATGAGTTGGGAAATAAATCGGCATATTTACAGTTAATTTCATATGCAGTATTGCGATATATAAAAGAAAATTGCATTTAAAATTTTTCGAACTAATAACTTTGAATTAGATATGAGTACCGTGAGGTTTGTTACCAAACGCTGACACAGGGAAAACTATTTAAACTATGCTATAAGGTTATTTGGTGATCTGTAAGTGCCAGTTGTGACATCAAAATAAGCATGTTTTCACATTAGTATAGTTTAATTAATCTAACTCAGAGTTTTAAGCAAATATCTTGATCAATTTTTATGCTATATATTATGCATTTGTACTGGCCCAACTAACTCTTTGATTATATTTTATATCAACTGTCTAGGCACTATTTTAGATATGAGACTAACGGGCAGATGAACAAAATACAGTCAAAGTTTCTTAACTCAAACTTCTTAATTCAAACTCAAACTCGAATTTTCTATAACTCGAATAAAAATATTGTCACATACCAATACGAATATGAGAGAGTGCATTCTTTAAGTCGAATTTTTGTTTTAAGTATGAATCTAGTTTTGTGTTAGGGAAAGTCCTTGTTTCCAAACCAAACGTTTAATTTTTTTTATGTTGCTTCTTTGTGCAAATGCCATTCGCTGCCAGCGTGGTTTAAAATAAATAAAATAAATTCCAATGCTACTCTTAACGATTATATTGAGCTTGACAATGAAATTTGTATATCAAGCTTTTATGTAGATGACGATATTATTGAGTATTATAGATCTGAATTAGTGGATCCGAGTCTAATCGCAACGGAAAGTGAATATGAGGGTTCGGTTAATGAAATTCTTCAATAGCCTTCCAAGAATGAAGTAGAAAATTCATTCAAAATGTTGAATTTTTATTTACAAACGAATGATACTCCAATGGATCATCGCTTAAGGCAAATAAAAAAATTCTTTAACTCGAAGTCTCCATAAGTTGAACCCTTTCTTTGCAAAATGGTACTTCGTGTTATGGAAGTTTGACTACATATGAAATTCAGTAAATAAAAAATGACTTAATTATTTCAATTATTCTATAACTGGTTTATGCTTTCATGCTAATATAACACAGCAAGTGAGTTTGTTAATGAACTTTCACAGCACATCATCAAAACCCTAAGTTCGAATACACTGGATAGGTTGTACTGAATCGGTTGTGTTATTAAGTTTTTTGCCTAAAATTTTTCAAAAATTACAAAATACTTAAAAATATAATGGTCAAGAAAGTTGATCTAAATATGCTTGCTAACAGATTTCACTTGAATTTAAAGTGGTAATATCAGTATCTTTTAAGTACGTTTTCCAAATTTTGTCCATTTTTACATTGAATGAATCATCAAATTGAAAAAAGTTTATATTCCTAATTGACTTAGGTGTTTTGTGTCTAATTAGATACAAGCATTTATAAAAAAAATTAATATATCTAAATAGGTTAGATCTCATAAGTTAAAGCTATAAGCTGTAAGATGTTATAAGTTAAATATGATTAAACATTGGATCATTTGGTAAATTCACTTCATTAGATTAGAGTTAATTGATTATTTCTTTCAGCTTATCTGTTAAATAATATAAATAATAATATTTTAAATAATGATTTATAATTAGTGTAAATCTTAACCGAATCTAGCCTTAATATAGGACACCAACATAACAATACAATTTTAAGCTTACGCTAATAAATCGTAAAGGAATAATTATAGCTAAAGCATAAAATAAAAGAAAATAAAATGAAATAAAATAAAATAAAATAAAATAAAATAAAATAAAATAAAATAAAATAGAATAAAATAAAATAAAATAAAATAAAATAAAATAAAATAAAATAAAATAAAATAAAATAAAATAAAATAAATGAAAATAAAATAAAATAAAATAAAAATCAGTATACTTAAACATTACTGAATGCTCTAAAGATGAATGGAACTATTTAATTTAAAATAGTTAAATTTAAAATTATATCTAACAATTTATTTTAGAAATTGTATGTTACATTCTCCTT